TGGTTCTCCCACTAATAAGCTGCACAAATGTCTGAAGGACATTTCATCTCTCATTAAGTGCCTCTGTTTCTAGTTCATTGGTAAACGAATTATAACAGCTAAGTGAGTCCATATATGGAAAGCAGTTGAATCATATTTTTCACAGAGTAACATAAAAATGTTGCTTACTCCTGGGGGGGTGACTATATTACACCATGGAAGTATGAGCTGCATTAAGTAACTTGTTGCAGAATATTTGTACACTGTGGATATGTGTCTTTGCCAAGGTGCCTTCTGATTGGCTTAATAAGAGCTGAATGGCCAATAGGTAGGCAGAAAAGGATAGGTGGGGCTTCCATGGAGAGAAAGAGGAGGAGGAATCTAGGCACACCAATTTTGCCAGCAGACTCAGAGCAAGATGAACTTCTCATACCGAGGAAAGGTAAAAGTCACATGGTAGAACTCAGATAGAAGTAGGTTAGTTTGAGTTATAAGAGCTATTTGGGGATAAGCCTAAGGTAAAGGCCAAGCTTTCATAATTAATAAGAAGTCTCCATGTTGTTATTTGCGGGCTGGCAATCCAAAGATACTGGGATAAGAAAGCTTGCTACAGTAACTGATACACATTGAGGATATTGTACTGGTGAGTCAGAGTTGCAAAGGAGTCTATGATATTTAAGGCTACATTCTTTTCAGTTGTCTTGCTGTGGAATGCATACAACTGTAGCATGAATCTTAAAAGTTCTTATTAATAAAATCAAGCCTGAGGCCAGGTATTGGGGTGAAGTGGAAGATCAGAGAACCAGAACAAGCCACAGCTAACCTCACCTGGCCAACTTCTCAGCTGATCTTGTTTCCTTGGACTGGAAGCCTCTGTGTCCTCATATCCGAATGGCTCTCAGCTGAACTGTGCTGCTCAAAGCCTAAAAGCTTAACCAGCAAAATGCTTCTAGTTTCTGGTCCTCACGCCTTATATACCTTTCTGCTTTCTACCATCACTCCCTGGGATTAAAGGCATGAGTCACCATGCTTGGTTGTATCCTTGAACAGATGGATTTCTGCCTCTGGAGTGATAGGATTAAAGGCGTGTGCTACCACTGCCTATCCTAAGTATCTAGTGGCTTTTCTGTTCTCTGACCCCAGATAAGTTTATTAGGATACACAATATTTTGGGGAACACAATATCACCACATACAACAAAATTGACCCTCTTAGCCACTGTAAGTGCACACTTTAGTGGTGGTAAATACATTATATTATTTGGCTACATCATGGTTATTATCTCCAGAACCCTCCCCACCTCATAAAACTGACTCCCTATACCTATTGAACAATAACTCCTGCTGCCACCAGCCCATTCTACTTGCCACTTCTGGGCTTTTGACTACTTCAGTACCTCACACAGAATTTGTATGGCTAGGACTGGGGCTTATTTCACTTAACATAATTTCCTCCGGAGTCATACATGTTGTAGCAAATGTCAGAATTCTCTTCTTTTTAAAGACTGAATAATAGTCCATGGTATGAATGTACTGTTTGCTTATCCACTCCTCCATCAATGGACACTTGGATTGCTTTCACATTTAAACTACATGAATGCTACTATGAATGTAGATATTCAAGCATCTCAAAAGAAATCCCCATTTTAATTGTTTTGGGTGTCTACCCACAGTGAAAATGATGGATCATGTGGTAAGATTTTGTTTGTTTTTTAAATACCTTAAGGAAATTCTATTGCTTTTCACAAAGACTACAAGATTTTACATTCCCACCAACAGCATGAAAAAGTGTTGCAAAAGTGTTACCCCACATGCTCTCAAGCGCTTATTTTACTGATTCTTCTGAGATGTGGTACCTCTTGTCCTATTGCAGTTATATCTTATATTAAATTTACATAATGCATATTGGCCACTTGTTGATCTTCGTTAGAGAATTGCATAGTGAAGTCTCTAGCCACATCTGGATTTGGTTGCTTCTGTTGTTGAGGAGGCTCTTTTGATAGACCATTCCTCAGGATGAGGTTGCAGCTGAGACTCTGTGGTATCGACTCAAAGTATCACAGACAAATTAAAATCTGTTGATTTTAATCAGAGCTGAGATGCAGGAACTATTGACAGTATTAGACAAATCAGACTGTCTAAAAACTAAATGACCCATAGCATAGAACTTTGAACTTTTTTTTTATGATGCATATTGATTTCTGTAGTAAAATGAGTAAACTTTAACACAAGAGACTCTGAGTTCATATAATAAAAATGTGTGTGCCATTTGTGGGCCACTGGGATGGCTCAGGTAGTGAAGGCACCTGCTGTTGAGAGTGACAATCTGAGTTCTAAAGAACTGATTTTCCCAGGTTGCCTCCGACAAACACACGCGTGCGCGCGCACACACACACACACACACACACACACACACACACACACACACACACTAAATGACTAAATAAGTAAATTGTTCCTTGTATTCTTGTGAACAGGCTTGGGGAAAGCTGTTCTGACATATGCTAAGCTCTCCGGCTCTGCAACTATAAACTATTATACATCAAGATGACCACACAGCAAGTGTGTGATGTCTGTTATCCCTCAGATGTGATTGGATGAAGTGTCTTTTGAGATGAACTCCCAGGAATCCTAAGATTTTTATCTCATGAAATTTTGAGAATTCTGCATTTTTTTCTTCCTAAATACATACTTAACTGTTTCCCATACTGCTACCTCTTCAGTTTCTATTGGGTTTTTTCAGGCTCCGGGCCAAAGAGCTTGCATTTCTTTTTTCCTTCCTTACCAAATAAGTTAAATACTCAGTGTGTTCATTATTTTTTTAAGGAAATGAAGTTGAAATGATTAAACAGGAAATGTGCACTTAGCCCCTAATGTCGACTACCTCAAGACAAAATCAATTCCATTTCAAATGGAATGCGATTGGAGAGCTGTGTAGAAGCGTGTTGATAGGAAAGAAATATTGAAGGTGAAGGCTCCAGAGACAGGAAATGAGAAACTTAAAGGTATCTTTTAACACTAAAAGCCGCTCTCTCTTTCCTGTCCTAAAAATCCTTGAAAAAAAATCTTTAAAATGCTCTGCACATTTGAGACTCTAATACACTGGGCTGAGAGCCAATGACACTCGGATGAAGAACCAAACTGTTCTCTCCTTGGTCCCCTGTGGAAATCCAGAAGTTTACATTTTGCGGATGCCCAAATCACTGGCCACACCTGCCTCCACTAACATGAGCCAAGGGGAAGAGAGAGAGACAGAAAAGTCTTGCTGGTTCCGGAGCCTTTACATGGACAGCCCATTGCTCTATCACAGAGGCCCCAGGTTTTCAGTGGATAAACACCTAAGGCCTGAGGAACAGCTCTCCTATTACACAGAGCCATGCCGCACTTTCCCTGCAGTGGCTCAGCTGCATGGCAAAGAGAAGATTTCCAGCCAGTTCCAATGTGGTTCCATGGTTTCCACCAGACTGCAAGTTTTTAAAGTTGGTCCTGTCCATCTGCACCTTGCTTGTGGGTTGTTTTAAATTTAAACTTTTTTTTTTTTTGTTCAACCCACGTTGCTTGTGGGTTGTCTTAAGTTTAATTTTTTTTCTTTTTTTTTTGAGAATTTTCGACATAAGTACTCTATTTACATCATTTCCACCCTTCCTTTCCTCCCCCAACTCCTCTGGTGTGCCTCCCGACTCCCTCTCAAATTCATAACTTCTTTTATTAATGGTCAAAAAGTATATTCTGAATTACTGACATTCAGAAGAGAGGATGGAAGCACAGTCTACAAGCTGAATATGTTGTGTCTACTCTGTGTTAGCTGTGTGTTTTCACCACGGGTGCATGTGGGGGGATCATATGTATACAGGCACATACAGGTGTCTGTGCCTGCCAGTTTTACACTGACATGAAACAAGCCAAAGAAATCTGGGAAGAAATTGCAATTGAGAAAATACCCCCCACTCCAAGATTGGCCGGTAGACAAGCCTGTGGTTCATTTTCTTTATTGAAGATTGACATGGGAGAGCCCAGTCAACTGTGGGTGGGGTTACCACTGGAAAGGTGGTCCTGTGTTGTATAAGCAAGCAGGCTGAGCAAGTCATGGAGAGCAGGCCAGTAAGCATCGCTCCTACATGGTCTCTGCATCAGCTCCTGCCTCCAGGTTCCTGCCTTGCTTGAAATCCTGCCCTGATTCCCCTTAGTGATGGACTGTGATGTGAGAAGTATAAAATGAAATATACTCATTCCTCCCCAGGTAACTTTTGGTCAGCCTTTGATCACAGCGATAGGGACCCAACTAAAACAGCTTCTTTGGAAGTTGGGGATTTTGTGATCTTGAAATTTAAACAATCTAATCTTCCCTATACAGTTTAAAACATAAATAGTTTGATTCAACTTCCGAAATAAGTAGCACTTGAAATGATAACAACCATAATTAGGTTTACACTGGTTTTGAATTTAAATTTTCTTATGAAACTCTTTTTCTTCTGGGATAAATTATGGACAAATATGGGCAAAGTGCTGGGCAGAGTAAAGAAAACAACCAAAAAAGATGCTTTTCTACTCCTCAAAAAACTTAAGTAGAATGCTAGGGAAATTTTTTTCCTGTTCTTAGATTTCCCTAGGTTTTCTGGTCAGGATCATTCAAAACTGAATTTTAAAAAATACATTTAATAAAGAACATGTTATATTTTAATTCTCACAGGAGACCACCCATAACTTGACAACAGACTAGTAATACATGCTTTTTATTTGCCTGAGACATATGTGATTTGCAAGAGAGTGGGCACATGATAAATGTTTATTGACTAAGTCTGTGGGTAAAGAAATAGGTAAGAGATTGGACAGAGGAAAAGTGGAAGTACCATGTTATCAGAAGCTGAAACATAGCTAAATTTCCAAAATGATGATTCTTGTAATGTGATTATAATGATGAGTAAGGACAAAGTAATATTGTAATTCTACATCATTTAATTTTTTTAGTATATTTTCTGATTTTCCTCACAGTATGTATATACCCAAAAAGCACTCACTTACCTGCAAATGTGAAAAATCCATATTTAAAAACTTCATGGTCTTAGGCAAGAAATCGAACCCTTTGAGCCTTCAGTCTCTTCCTCTGCAGAATGGAAATAACGAGAGTAGCAAAGGTATATGATTGAGGGTTCGTAAAGTACTCGGAACAGGGGCTAGCCTGCAACAGTAATTATTGAAGTTGTGATTATCCATTTCCTGGGCAAATTCATTAGGTGCAAGGAAAGTAATAAATTATCTTCTAAAGATTTTTTTAATGAGATCCTTCTGTAGCAATGATTTTAATTATACAAAAGTGGGAAAGTTAGCGTTCATGTGTTCAGCACTGCACCTCCTACCACACCATACAGGCCGTCATTCAGTCACAGATCTAAGGTAGCCAAGATCTGTTGGTAAATTCCTTAAAAGGACCAGTGTACCAGAGAACAACTTGTCTCCTTACCATGAATGGGCCTTACCAAAACTTTGCTCATGAATTCAACTTCTACATTTCTTTTCCAGAAACGTCAAGAATTTCAGTTCCATGCTGGAGAAGGCTAAGTCTGTCCTCTTGGAAGTAGTTAGCAAATGGGAGTTATGAAGACTTGGAGCAGACCAAGAAGGTAAAGTACATGGTTGACTCCAGCTGAAGAGTTTTGTGATAGAGATGTCTGTCAAATAAGATAATGCTGAGGGCCAGTGGACCCGCTTTGTTGATGTGCATAACTGTAAGGAAGGCAGGAGAGAGATTCATCTCTGGCAAGAAGAGACCAGCAGACCTCACCAGCCTTGTTGTGAAAACCACTCCTCGCCAATGCTCCTTGAGATGTTATCATGCCCGCATGGATCAGATCACTCAAGGCATCTTTGAGGCAGCCCGATGGGAAAGACACAGTGAACCTCACTTGAGGGATGAAGCTGAGCCATGAGTCTGAAATGTGCCCAGAATCACAGCTGGCAAGTGGCAAGCACAAGATGTAAGTCTAGGCCAGCAGATTCCAAATACTGCTTAAACAGCAGGAGACACTGTCCCGATTAAATCTGTGCCATCCCTGTGGTTGAATATACAGGCTTACTGAGATAGGCTTAGTTTATATAACCATGTATTCAAATGGTTCAATAAAAACTATGCAAAAGATTTGTAGTCTACAAGTTCTGGTTGTTGTCCATCTCTGGGTCCAGAGTGAGAAAAAGGTCAAAAGCCAGAAAAAAAGGAGATTGACAAACAGGGAAGTGAAGAAGAAAAAGAAGAAAGCTGTTGGGATGAGAACAGAGATAAACTTTGACGAGGCTTACAGAAGTGTAGGAGAGGATTCGGATGGTTCCCGTAGCAGAGTTCAAGCAGGGCAAGAGGAATCCAGCTGCACACTGCCCTCTATAGCTGTGGTTTTACCCCTGACTCAGTCTTCCTTCAAGCCTCTCTGCTCCTGAGGCTCATTTGAATTCTGAGGCTGGCTCTACTACAGTCCTGTGTCCTGCCCCCAAAAAGCTCAGTGTCCCTCTGATAGCTGGGATGAGTGAGGATGGGCAGAATCTCAATGAGCCCTGGATGTTTGACAGACTCATAAGGAAAGAGTTGAATCTTCTTGACAAACTGGTGTGCTCTGGTCCTGGAGGTGGCTGTAGGTGGGCGTCTTTTTGTACTAATGGGTAAAGCCTGTCTCAAATGAAGAGAACACAAGGGCTAAGACAGCTGGAGAGGCACGTGGTTTCCCAGGTGTCTCACTTCAGTATCTGCTGAACCTACCAACTTGACTCATTTGCTCTCTGGGTCAAGAACAAAACCTGTTTCTAAATTCATCTAATTTGGCTTTCTGCCGTTTATAACAGAATCCAGATAAGTATATTGAGTCACGGGAAAAAAGTCCAATGATGTTCATTTTATTTAATAAGACATCTTTACTAGTGCCTTTTGTGTCCACAGAAAGAAATGTCTAAAAGGATAGCTTCATTTAGGATTTCAATCCCCTGATCTCTTTATTCCTTTAAATTCTAAAATGTCTTCCTGGTACATTCTTCAGCCATGGTGTTTTTCAGATCATAGTTCTCACATATCAAAAGGACAACATACAGCATGCTAAATATTTAGCCATACAACTGTCTGATTAAGCTGCCACTTAAATAAAGGATTCTGTTAAGAACTTAATGCAGTACAGATCCTTAGGCAGCTCATGAGATAACTTAGGAAATTTCTTTTTAAAAAACACTATAATCAGTGTGTCTTAGTTAAGGTTTCTATTGCTGTGATGAAACACCGTGACCAAAAAGTAAGTTGGGGAGGAAAGGGTTTATTTGGCTTATACTTCAGCATTGCTGTTCATCACTGAAGGAATTCGGGGCAGGAGCTGAGGCAAAAGCCATGGAGGGGAGCTGCTTACTGGCTTGCTTTCCATGGCTTGATCGGCCAACCTTCTTATAGAACTCACAACCAGCAGCCTACCGATGGCACCACCCACTGTGGGCTGAGCCCTCCCCCATTGATCACCAAATGAGAAGATGCCTTACAGCTGGATCTCAAGGAGGCATTTCCTCAACTGAGGCTCTTTCCTCTGATGACTCTAGCTTGTGACAAGTCGACATACAAAACCAGTCAGTGTGCAGTGGAACTCTAAAAGTAATGAATTTAGGTAGAACAGTATTCCTCCAATTTCAATAACAATCCCCTAGGAAGCTTAAGAAATTAAAGAGTACATTAAGAAATAACAATTTGGAAAATTTGGCACAAAATCCAGAAGTATAAGTTTTCACTAATTGTTAGGTAATTCCAGTGTGATGTCAGTGCAATTTCAGACCTCAAGGAAGTCTCAAAGTCTCACTGGACGTTAGCAAAGACACTGATTTGAAGTTGTAAGTTGTGAATCTGTGTCTATAGAGGCAGTCAAGGATGGATCTTTAAAGATAAACGTGAACTCTCCAAGTATGTTTTCTTTTCATGTGATCAGGGTTAAGTGAGGTGATCCTCATGAAGGATGCTCTATGATTAGCATGCACTAGGAGTAATTATTCTTGACACACTCATTAAAACAGAAGTAAAAGACAATACACTTAAGCATCCTGGTATACTTACATAAGGTCCATCTCTTGTGTCTCTCTAAAAGTGTTAAGATTCAAAAAGGCCAACAACTATATTGGCTTTAATCCCGTAATACCAAACCTTTTGGGCTTTCTGGATTTCAGGTGAAGCAGATACCACATTTGTGTGCATTTCTCTGGCCCATTTTCCAAGTGATTTGAAAGCTACACACTTAAAGTCAGCCTCAGAGGAGGAGACCTGCAGCTGACCAGGTTTGCAGTTCCAGTTGCTTTGACACTTTGCCTTCATGCTCAGTATAACCTAGCGTTCACGTACACGATTCCAACCAGTCCAGTCAGAGAAAGAGCCCTCTGTGTCCCAAGACTCTCACTGCCTCCCACTTCTCTGTATATTAATTCCCTCTCTCTTGGTTAATTTGAGATTCTAAATTGTTCACAAGCAGCCCTAGTCTTTAAATCCATACCTGATGGTCACTAGATGAAGAGCTGATTATGCAAACATTGGCAAAGTTGAGTAATCCCTGTCTGAATTGAGAAAAAAGCAACTGGCTGATCTAAAATATTCAGACTCATCTTGATGGCCCAGATTTGAAGTTTAGTATTTTGTTTTGAAGTACCTTGTAAACTTTTATAGTAATCCCTGTTGTGGAAGCCAAATGTGTGATCTCCAGAGTCCTGATTGTTGCCACACAGCTGCTGTCATGCCACATACTTCAGCAAGTGATCATTTAACAGAGAGAACAAGAAGGCCCATTGATTAAAGAGATAAAACCACTACCACAGAAAACTCATTTCGCAAGTATGGCCTCTCCAAGAGCAGTGCAGATCCGGAGAAGCCAAATCCAACCGACGTGAGAGTCCCTCCCTCAGGAAGGGTGTCTAAAGGAACAAAACAACAAGAAAGGCTGCCCTGCTGGGGGCTGTGGCTAGGAATCTGGGAGTTCCAGTAAAGGCCCTAATCTGCAATACTGTACCGAGACTCACAGAGCATAAACTGTGACATGAAAGATGAGCAGGGTAAGCACGTGTTCTGCCAACACAGAGCATTTTGACACCTGTGTTCCAAGATAAGGCACTGATAAAGAGATTCCATGGCAACTCCAATGGACCATGGGCTAGAGATAAGACTAGCGACCGGACCAGTAGTTTGGTTCAAGATGTTGGCAAATCCCATAGCAGCAAGACCAGCCTAATTCATGCTCCTCAATCTACATACTACTCTTCATTGATTCATTTATTCTGAGACAGCCCATCATTCTCCAACATGTAATTCTCTTTTGACACAGTGCATTAATAAACCTAACTTTGTATTTCTAGTAGGACCTAACATCAACTACGTCATCACCCAAATGGTATTAGTATGACCAAATAGTACAGTGACCTACAATGATTTGACTATACACCATTTATAGGATAATATCCTAACTGTTACCTTATACACTTTGATTCAGTAGCTACTATAGTACTGTTTCTCCCATAACCAGAATAGACAAATTTGGGAATCACCTGGGGATAGAAGCAGGGTGGTTCCTTTCCAGATTAGTTGATACCTCATCTCCCAATTTTGAACTCTGCAGATCTGGAGTCTTAGGGAAGTGCATCCACTAAAGAGCACAATGATGGTTTCACCAAACTGAAAACCGAGACTCCTACCCAGCCATGTCAAGCTCCTCTGGCCGTTGAATCAGCAACCAAGGCAAGGGTCACTGTTGGCTCCAGGGACTAATCCTGATGACCGAAAGGAATCACAGCTGCTAGGTGGAATTGAGAAGGAGTGTGTGGAGTCTATATTCTTTCAGAAGTAAAGCTTGCTGCAAAATAACCCAAACTAAAGGAGGCCATGGCCACCAAAGTTCTGGACACCTTAATGTTAAAGATCTGGGTCACCCACCAGGTAAAGGAATTAGGCCAGTTGAGTAAAGCTGGCCCAGCCCGAAGAAAGCATGAGCTGCTTCAGAAGCTATTAATATCACTAAACCTAAGAAAGCGGTATGTGGTCATTACTTCCTCATTGCACATACAGTATGCTATGTTGTTTGACAGGATATTATCATGTTTATTTTATTACATATC